TCACTTCATTTCCGTTGCCTCAAATTCACCTCGGGCATTTAATACTCCTGCTCAGTTTTATAAAACGCAGATTGATACGACCTCTTCACTGAACAAAAATATTCTTGTACTTTCTTAATCCATTTGATTTTTCATACTTACGAATACATCTCTTATAGAAAGGCACATTCCAAAAACTTGTTGCACCCCAAATTGGTGATTAAAACATTCAAAATAGGTGTAGCTGTGCAGACATATTTCTGCAAAACGTTTGCCATCTGACAGCGTTATGCTGAAGAAGTGTGCTTTGGGAACAATCGCTTAAGCGTAAAATTGAGAACAGCCAAACGGAAAATAAATTCAGACCTGGGACTTGATTTCACAATTTCTCATTACTAGACAAATTATCAGCATGGGATTAAGAAGAACATCTCCCAACTTAGGGTGCATGAAAATATACTAATCAGTGGTGACAATAATCACCAGGACTTGTAGGACCTAGAAACTGTGCCTGTTGAATTTCGCGATGATCTAGGCAAGTTTAAAGGGGTTGCCAAAACACTTCCAAGTTATTCTTTATGCACCATGATGAGGTAAGGAGAAAGACAAAAGGTTTTGCACGACCTATACCCAAGTGGTCACATTTTGTTTGGAATTACAATAAGGAACCTCTTTCAGACCACCAACAGGATAAAGAGGCACGAATGAAGGTGTGGCGATCTTTAGCCTCAAAGAATTCCTAAACGCTAAAATGCTACCAAAAAACAATACTTTGAAGTTGCTACGTTGCTTAAAAGCCTCTGTACAGTGGGTGATTTGCTATCTTTGAGAATTTTATGCAATATAAAAAGAGCTATGAGATGCAAAGCCATTAGACGGCAAACAATGATAAAAGTGGATGGTGCAGTCCATGTAGCTTAAATTAATAGGATGAAGCTCACGAGTGTTAAGGAAATATTCTTCAATGCTGCCAAACAAACGAGTACTGAAAAGGCTGCAATGGTTGATTCAGAGAAGTGGACTGTGAAGCATTATTCGGAAGGTCCAGTGTCATTTTCAAGAATGACAAGTTGATCGGAAATTCTCGTATGCATTATTCCACTTGCGTTGCACTTAACCATGGTGGCTAAGGTGCGGTTTAGCACTTTCCTAATTAAGCACTCCTCCAATGCTACGGTAAATGCCAAATTCAAAATGCAATTCCGGTCATCCTGACACTGGTTTGCGGACAGCAGTGCATTCAAATTGCCACTCTATGACACTTTGAGAAACCACTCATCACGCATCATGAAATCTGCAATGTCGCAACATCTTCAGCATGGCTGCGCTTATGGCAAAACTTACGTAAGTAGAATTGATGAAGGGGAAGCAGTGCCTGGTATTAGATAGGCTCCGTAGGTTGCACGTGGAAACAGACCAACGCGTCATGATGTGTGAATGTGTGCAGTGCAAGGTAATACTAAACATACTGTGGGGAGAAAGCGACTTATTCAGGGTGATGCAATTACCATTCTTCTTTGGGGGGGATTTTGTCTTTAAATATCTGACAACGCGCAACACCTGCTCAACAAGTTTTGTTTGTTAAGTCTTTGTATCTTTCTATAAAATGTCATGTTTTGTGTTGCTAATTTTTTTCATATCTAAAGCAGATTGGATTTCTTTTGTTAAAACACCTCCGTTGTTGGTCATTTTAAGCTCTTGTAGAGGCAATCGCCCTATCACTAAATGATCTGCAGGCGCGTTACAATGACTGTGTCACCCACTTGAGGAGTACGGGTAAACTCGAGGCAAAGGCAAACCCAAAGAACTCTTTTGATTCCTAGGGATTGACTTTTTTAAGGAAGGAAGGCATTTGGATGTTTGTTGAATGCGTCTTTCCCTCTTGATTGAGGTGTTCCGCTCACAACATCTGCATTACTTGCAAGTATATCAGGAGTGAGCACTGGTGTTTATTCCCGATCAGTCTTTCGTAAATGGTGGTAGTTGTTTGAGCTTAAACTACCACAAGCAACAACATTCCTTTAAAGGTTTGTGTAACAATCAGCCTGAGAGAAGCATGCATGGATAGGTCGTGATTCGAATGTCATTCCTTGATTCGTTAATCTGGTGTAAGGTGACGGCGATTTCGAGACACGCAGTGGTCTGTAATTAAGAAGACCATGTCATGTTCTCTGTCGAGCATTTTAATATATTTGACTAATGTACTTTTATCTGTAGTAATCACAGGATTTTATAATGCATGGGCAAATTCCATTTTAGATAGCTTTCCAGCCGATGTAGTCTATAAACATATAAGAAATCTTCATTAGCTCCGACTTTATTACCCGTCGTTTTGAAGGAATGCCGGAGAAGGCCTCCAGATGTGTTGATTTGTTGACATAAGCTCATTCATTTCAGTAGACTTTTTTGCTAACTACTTCCGCTTTAAAAGAAGGAAAACTTTCGCTGATCAAAAACGTTAATCTTAACTGTGAGAAATACAAATAATTGCAGGAGGAATTAGATGTTCAGGAGTTTTGGGGCAGAATTTTAGGCCACATTATGCAACATCATTTCAAGTTTGTTCAAATTTAAGACGCTGTTAGCTCATTACCACACAAGGGGGTCTTAACTGCTCACTTTGGGCAACTCGTTGATCAAGTAAACATTGATAAATAAAGGCGGAAAAACGAACTAACTCTTCCAGCATGACCAAGAGTGTAACATGTTGCCGCACCAGCATGAAGAGAGAAGCACCCGCAGTGCTGCGCGTCGGCGACGCGGCAACGACGAAGTCGGGACGCCGACTGTTGGAAGCAATGCGAGCTCTGTCAAACTGCGTCTTGTACACTGGCTCGCACACGTAGCTTGTGTCGATGGAAACGACTGTTGCAGCGACATCCCTCTGGTAATCATCAAATTAGGAAATGTTGTACATAATTCATGCGTAGGGATCAAGCAGACTGCCCATCGCATCACATGAAGGTAACTGCTACTGAATTTCCCAATATGGCAGTACAAGTGGTTGCAAAAA